GATGTTAAAACAGAGAACTGTATTTTATGCCACGAGAATCACGGATTGGCAAAATGCCCATCGTATTTAAAATTACCGGTACAAGAAAGAGTACAGGTTGTGAAATCTAATAAATTATGTTTTAACTGTCTACATATGCATTCAGTATCAAATTGCCCATCGAAATATTCTTGTTTTTGTCAAAAACGGCACCACAAAACTATTCACTTTCCGAAAGCAAATAATATCGTAAAGGAGAAAGAATGTTCTTCATCGGAACAAAATAAAAACAAAACAAATGTATCTGACTGCAACGTTCCCAAACGAGATGACTCATCGACCTTGAATGTTAATGCGCAGGAGTTCGTTCAAAAGGCATTTATTAGCAATTATTCGAATAAACAGAGTACAGTTCTGCTTTCAACAGTCGTATGTTTTCTAATTGATAACGAGGGAAAAAACACAGAGTGAAGTGTTTGCTGGACGGGGGCAGTATGTCGAACTTTTTGACACGGAATCTTATTGAGCATTTGCAGTTAGAGAAAGAAAAAAACAAACATTTCCGTTTCGGGAATAAATGATGCTACTTTAACAAATAAAGCATAAAATTAATGCTTCGATATGCAATAAAGAAGGAACTTTTATAAAGAATTTGGACTTTTTAGTAATTCCAAAAATAACTGCTGATTTAACACCTTCGCGCAAAATTAAAATTTCAGTGCAAGATCTTCCTAATTTAAAATTAGCAGATGAAGGATTTAATGTTCCAGAAAGGGTAGATATGTTGTTGGGAGCGGGAGTTTTTTATGAACTTTTGAAACCGAGTCAAATTCGAATGAATAATCCTGATCTTATTTTTCAAGATACAGTTTTTGGTTTTATCGTGTCTGGAAGTATTCCAACAGAGACTGAAAACAGGGTTCATTGTGGGTTGATAAAGGAAGAAGACAACTTAGATAAAACTCTTAGAAAATTTTGGGAATTAGAAAATATTGAAACTGATAAACCCAAAAACAAAGAATTTTTAATTTGTGAGAAACATTTCGTAGAAAATTATACACGAGATAAAACCGGTAGGTACGTTGTTAAAATGCCATTAAAGGAGGATCCGGACACTTTAGGAAGTTCTAAACAAATTGCAACGAGTAAATTAAATTCCTTATGGAAACGCTTAGTAAAGAATCCCGAATATTTAAAATTATATTCAGATTTTTTAAAAGAATATCAACAGTTAGGACATATGGTTGAGGTGAGTGAAAGCGAGGAGGAACGAGGTTCATATTACATTCCTCATATTGGAGTATATAGGGGAGAAGAGAAAAGTAAGTCGACTCCCTTGAGGGTAGTATTTAACGCTTCTTCTTTGACAACCAAAGGAAACTCTCTAAATTCTATACAGTATAATGGAGGTGTGATACAAGATGATTTATTCTCAATTATGCTGAGATTCAGGAAATATATTTTTGCTTTCACTGCTGATATACAAAAGATGTATCGAGCTATTTCTATCCATCCAGATCAGTGGAAGTTGCAAAGGATTTTATGGAAAGAAGGCATTGATAAGCCAGTTAAAAACTTTGAGCTAACCACCGTTACCTATGGAACTGTGAGTGCACCATTTTTAGCAATGAGAACACTTGTACAGCTGTCAAAGGACGAAGGAGATAAATTTCCTTTAGCAGCACCTGTACTGAGAGAAGACATGTACATGGACGATATTCTATCTGGAGCTGAGTCGCTAAGTTCTGCGTTAGAACTTCAAAATCAGTTAATAGGCATTTTGAAGAGTGGAGGTATGTTACTCCATAAGTGGTGTAGTAATGCTACTGAACTGTGTCAAACAAACGACAAAACATATCCCTTTGGTAAATCAGAAGAATCTAAAGCATTAGGTATTTTATGGAAGTCAAAAGGAGATTGTTTGAGCTTCAACGTTAAAATCGAAGACAACGTAAAGGTTACGAAACGGCAAGTGTTATCCGTCATATCTCGCATCTTTGACCCATTGGGTATAATTTCTCCAGTTATAATTGTAGCAAAAATATTTATGCAGAAATTATGGCTGTTAAAATTGAACTGGAATGATGTTTTGCCAGAAAAGGAGGCTAAAGAATGGAAAGAATTCTCCACTACCTTGCAGCTAATTAACAACATTGAAGTCCCTAGATGTATTTTATTACCAGATAGAATCAAGATTGAATTACATGGTTTCTGTGATGCCTCAGAGGCCGCCTATGGAGCAGTTATCTACTGTAAAGCAACATCAGCAACAAACCATACATCAGTGAGGTTGGTGTGCAGTAAATCGCGTGTCTCCCCCTAAAGAAGACTACAATCCCAAGACTTGAGCTTTGCGCAGCAGTGCTATTAGCTAAACTGATGCATCGAGTGAAATCATCGTTAAAATTGGAGCTTACTGCTATTCACCTTTGGACCGATTCTATGATTGTGCTGTCATGGATCAACAAAGAGCCACACCTGCTCAAGACATTTGTTGCAAACCGGATTTCAAAGATACAGGATCTGACTGAAATAGCACAGTGGCATCATATCGCTTCTGAAGAAAACCCATCAGATCTCATATCTAGAGGTATGTCTGCCAAAAAACTGCAACTAAGTCAACTGTGGTGGAACGGGCCTGACTTCTTAATGAAGGATGAGTACCCTATAAGAGTTATACCTGAAGCAATTACTGAAAAGGACAGTAATGAACTTAAAAACTTTGCTGATTCTGAACTATCTACATGTTTAAATCTGAATGTGAAAAATTTTGTTAATGATTTATTGAATTGCAGTAATAAGTATTTAAAATTAATTCGTATTATAAGTTTTTGTTTTAGGTTTTACAAGAATTGTAAGCAAGAACAAAAGCAGGTAGGTAATTTACAAGTGGGAGAATTGAGAGCAGCTGAAGAAACTTTAATAAAATTAGTACAGGGTGAGTATTTTATAAATGAGATAAATGATCTTAAAAAATCAGGTATTGTTCCAAGAAATAGTTCTATTAAAAGTCTTAACCCTTTCATTGACAGTAATGGACTGTTGAGAGTTGGAGGTAGATTAAAAAATAGCAATTTAACTTATGAGAAAAAATTTCCTATTATTCTGCCTTCTAAACATAAATTAACAGAGTTAATAGTTAATTACTATCATTTAAAATATTTGCATGTGGGTCCTCAATCTTTGTTATATCATATAAGACAAAAATTTTGGATTGTAAGTGGTAGAAATGTTTGTAGAAAAATTGTAAAAAATTGTATAATATGTTTTAAAGCCAATCCCATTGTAGCTCAGCAAATCATGGGTGATTTACCCAAGGAAAGAATCACAGCTAATCTTACATTCAATTGTACTGGAGTTGACCTCTGTGGCCCATTCTTAATTAAGTACAAAAACCAGAGAAAAGGTATATATCAAAAAGTTTATGTGTGTATATTCATTTGTATGGTTACTAAGGCCATTCATTTAGAGCTGATAACAGACCTAACATCTGAAGCATTAATAGCTACCTTGAAACGTTTCTTTGCACGAAGAGGTAAAAGTTTAACACTATTTAGTGATAACGCTACGAATTTTGTAGGTGCAAATGCAGAATTAAAGAGGTTAAACAAACTAGTGAACGAACAAGATGAGCTTTTAGCTGGTTATTTGAGTTCTGAGAATATCGAATGGAAATTTCTCCTCCCAGAGCACCTAATTTTGGAGGCCTTTGGGAGGCTGGAGTTAAATCTTTTAAGTACCACTTCAAACGTGTCGTAGGTAATGCAAAATTGACATTTGAACAATTTTTAACAATTATGATTCAGATTGAAGGAATTTTAAATTCCCGACCATTGACACCCTTGTCTTCGGACATTGATGATTTAGAGGTTCTAACACCTGGGCATTTTTTAATTGGTAGAGCAATTAATTCGATCCCTGAGCCAGATATCACGGAAGTTAACATTAACAGGTTAAAATTGTGGCAACAGATCACAAGATTAGTACAAATTATCTGGAAAAAATGGAACTCCAATTATTTAAGTCATTTACAAAATCGATCTAAATGGCAAAGTTCTAAAAACAATATACAAGTTGGAGACATGGTCTTAATTAAAGATAATTTGCCTTGTTGTAATTGGGCGGTTGGTCGTATAATAGAAGTATTTTATGGTAAAGATGGAAAGGTTCGCGTGTGTAATGTAAAAACTCAAACTGGAACTTTCAAACGACCAATTACCAAATTATGTGTCTTACCAATACAAAAATGAGTATTGTCTTTATAGTTATTGTACAGTATTGAATGTGCTTCACATAAAATGTCATTATGTAACTGAAATGTTATATTGTATTGCTTTGAGTTGTACGCTAATGTATATGGTAAATGTCTAATTATAATAATGATTTTTATGTAATAGTACTTATTCAAAATTGTTTATGATATACTTGTTTAATTTTTTTATGCTATATCTTAATTACAATAGTTGAATGCTAAGCATTGCAACGCGGGGCGGCATGTTCGCGCCTGCGCATCTGTAATGTGATGATCTAACGAGTTTGAGAATCGCCATCGACGGTGTAAGAGGGCTGGTCACAGCTATGAGTTAATGAGTGATTGTAACTAATTATGAGAATTAATAAAGAATCGAACCAGCGAATTTATTTAGTGTGTATTGGGAGCCCAAACAATAATATATAATATTTATAAATAAATATACCCTTTAGATGGATAAAAGTAACTGGCTGAAAGAAATTAATGAAGCAGAGGCAAAGAAAGATGAGAAAAATCGGAATACATCTTCGCAAATAGTAAACCTAAATATAGAAAATATGATCCATTGTACTTATCATTAGGATTTACATATAAGGTTATTAATGGCCAAGAACGACCATTGTGTTTGCTGTGTATGAATACTTTGGCCTCAGACAGCATGAAACCAAATAAATTAAAACGACATCTTGAAAAAGTATATGAAGATCACGTTGGCAAGACAAGAGAATTTTTCCAAAGAAAATTAGAGAATTTAAATAAACAACAAGAAATGTTTTCAAAGACCACGTCTGTAACACAAAAAGCATTGCTTGCGTCATATAAAGTTTCTTATAGAATTGCTAAATGCAAAAAACCCCATTCAATAGGAGAAACTTTGGTGCTACCTGCAGCTATTGACATGATAGAAACGATGCTCGGTGAGTCATATGCTGATCAACTTAAAATCATTCCACTTGCAGATAATACGGTGGGAAGACGAATATCCGATATATCTGAAGATCTTTGCGAGCAATTAATAGAAAAAGTAAAACTATCTTCTTTCGCGTTGCAAGTAGATGAGGCTACCGATGTTCTTAAGAATGCACACTTGATAACATATGTAAGATATGTTGTGGAAACTGATGTTAGAGAAGACATGTTATTCTGTAAACCTACTGAATGCAATACTACAGCAAGGGAAGTTTTTAAAATCATTGATAATCTTTTTAATGAAAATGGCATTCTGTGGGAGAACTGTGTTGGACTATGCACAGATGGAGCTCCATCTATGGCAGGAAAAAATGCTGGTCTACAGGCACTAGTTCGAAAGGTGGCTCCTCGTGCAGTTTGGACGCATTGCATAATTCGTAGACAATCACTTGTTTCAAGAGATATGGGTGAAGATCTACTAACAGTATTTGAAGTTATTACAAGAGTTGTAAATTTTATCAAAAATAGCCCATTAAGGGGAAGGCTTTTCGCAAGATTGTGTGATGACATGGGTTCAGAATATAGATCATTTCTATACTATTGTGAGGCACGTTGGCTTTCTCGTGCCAAAATACTTCAAAGGGTGTTTGAGCTAAAAGAAGAGATCGCCATATTTCTTAGTGATAATAATAGACATGAAGCACACTTGTTTTATGACACGAAATTCCTTGTAAAACTTGCGTATTTAGTTGATATTTTTCAAAGACTCAGTATTTTAAATAAATAAATGCAAGGGGCTCAAATTCATGCTTTTACGCAGAAAGACAAGCTTACTGCATTTATGAAAAAATTGGAACTGTGGATAATAAGTTTGAAAAATAATAACTTTGACATGTTTCCCACTTTTAAAATTACCTGTCTTGCTGATGAAATAGAAGAAAGTAAAGTTCTTATTAATAATCATTTGACCAGTCTATGGAAGCAATTCTCGTTGTACTTTAAAGATCTTGACATGTCCAAATATGAATGGATTAGAAACCCATTTGTGATTGAAAAATATGATGATTTTGGCCTTACGACAGCAGAGCAGGAAATGATAATTGACTTATCTAGTGATAACACATTAAAGCAGATGTTTCGAGAGGAAAATAATATTGTTACGTTTTGGCTACGAGTAAAGGACGATTTTCCTACTTTGACAAACAAAGCTTTAGAAATTTTATTGCCATTTGTAACATCTTACCTATGTGAAACTGGTTTTTCTACAGTCGCATTAAATTTTTATGTTGTAGTAGTATTAATTATATATTCTTTTTTTGTTTTGTTAGTATATTTCTTATAATAAATATATTATATTTTTACATAATATTGTATATTATTTTGCAGCCCATTAAATAAATTATAATATCAGTTGAGTATTTATGAAATTTGATTTTAAGATAAATTAACGGGACGCAACAATTTGTTTTTTAAAGGGGGGCGCACCAATTTTTTTAAAAGGGGGGTGCCGGTACAAAAAGGTTGGAAACCACTGCCGTAAGCCTTCATCGGTTTGCCTTCCTACACACTTCAAATCATATCATCCAACTAAGCAAAAGTTAGCTTCATTTTATTCCTTTGTTTTCCGTTCACTTCAAGTTTGCTTCTCCAAATTGGCTCTTGATGAAGAGCTAAATTATTTAAAAGCAGTAGCTATTTACAGGGGATTTCACACAATATTATTAACCAAGCAGTTATGAAGTTCTCATCTCAACACACCAAAAGGCACACTATTGTTTCAGGACATTATAAGAATTCTGTTGTCATTCCTTTCTTCCCTCAATTAGCTAGAAAATTGCACATATTTTACAGAAATTGAACTTTCGGGTCGTTTATTAACCTATCAATAAAATTCCGAGTTCCATACTTAAGGACCCCATTCCGGATATGAATTCCTGAGGGATTTACAGGATTCCTTGCCAGTGTGGTTTAATTTACATTGGTCAAACTAAGAAAGCCTTAAAATTTCGCGTTAAGGAACGTGAGGCATATGTTAGGAAAAAGGAAACACAGAAGTCCTCTATTGCCCAGCATTGTTGGCCCGAAAATCACATTTTCCTATTTTCGGCAGCCAAACGTATTCAATAAATATCTTCCATTGGTGAACTAGATTTTCTAGAGGCGTTTCACATTAAAAAAATATATCTGTTCTAGTTAACGACCCTAATTCCAATCCTTCAGCCTTTAAGGAAATTATGTTTTAGTTTTCTTGTTTCACGTACAGATGGCGCCAGTAGCTTAACACCTGTTCAGCCATTCTTATTTTGTCTTATCTTATCACTCTATCTTACCTCGTTCATTTGCACTTTGGCAGCTGAGGATGATGGTTCGGTAAAACCATCGAATCTAGTTCTGTGAAAATTTGCAAATGTAACGCTGATTTTTGTCGTTTGACTTCAAAATTAATATTTGTTTGGCTTGTTGTTTTACCTTAATTATAATTTTTCTTATTCATTCAATCACAAATTGGCCTAGCAAAACTTAACCACGCTTCAGGGGCGCGCCTCTTCCACTAATTTCTGGATATCTGCCATCTTAAACTCCGCAGACCTCTTTGTTTAACCGTTCTCAAAGCAGATGTAAGCTCATTGATGCTGCTATCACAATGTTGGAGATAATTTTTGACACAGCTGCGAATGATTTTAAGGACATGTCTATTTACCCGTTAAGCTTAGAATGGGGTCGATAGAGAACCATCTAAAATCTGAAGCTTTTTTAACGCGAATTATTTTTACTCGCTTTGAAAAATGATCTGCGATTACGAGCAAATATCTATTTTTACTTTTTGCAACGCGTGGCTAGAAGCCTAATAGTTTAATTCATTAGAGAAGACCTATTTTCTGCTATTTATTATTTCTGCTATTTTTTCTGTACTCGGTCTGGCTATAATGAATATCGTTGACTAACTGGCAAATGTTGCAGGACCTGACATACTCAGAAACAAATTTTTCTATCTGTTGAAAATAAACAGCTTCTCGTACTCTCTGAACTGTTTTTATTTTAATCCTGAGATGACCTGAAACTGGCGTATCATGCAGAATACTTAATCTTAAACTGGCCGATCTCAATTCATTATTCTTGTTTGTTACTTTGGAGTAAAATAAAAGATTGCCAGTAATCTCATAATTTGCAGCTTTGGTTCTAATAGACATCACATCCTGGTGCTCAAAATCATAAGTATCTTTTAAATACGTATCAATGTTTCAAATTCCGGGTCTGTTTGTTAAACTGGAGTAACTGTTTCGCAAGAATCTAAAATTAACATTGAACTTTTGACTTCATTCCCCTCGTCATCTAATTTTATATTTGATAGAGCATCCGCTACTATATTTCATTTTCCAGAAATATGTTTAATTATTAAGTTGTGTTGCAATTTAAGCGCCCATCTTATGAAACTTGGTGATAAATTCTTCACAGAATACAAACGAACCATGGTCGCATGATCTGTATGAACATTTATGAGTACTTTCCCAAACTAAATTTGAAACTTCCGAGTCGCCAAAAGAATTGCTAGACATAAGACGTAAGACGATTAGAAGACGTAAGCTCATAATTAAACAATTACAGGTTTGGGGACAGGAACTTTGTCATGTCATCTAGTGTACTGCTGAATTCCGCTAGTCTTCAGTACTAAATGTCATGTTCCTGGGTGTCTGGTTTTATCTTACTAATGCTCTTGTGTAGCATGCCCCATTCAGTATGTGTATGATGGATCCCTGTACACGAATACACTGAAGTAACTGATGTATCCGCAGCAACTCTATATGTAAGTGTAAAATGTTTAACTATTAGTGTAAAATATTTATGTACGCGCAACAACGTACGCATGTATAAAACAAACGTTAAGCTAGCAGTATATTCCCAGTGTCCAAAACTAGGTGCACATAAAATGCACCAGGGTTATTTCTGTTTATATATATGCATCAGTGTACAATTTATATGCGTAACAGAGTAAAATTAGTGCACTGTTTAAATATCAGCCTAAAATTTGAATGTAAAATGCTTATGTATACGCAATAGTGTACGCATCAGTGTAAAATTCGTATCAGTGTATCCTCAGTGTCGTAGTCTATGTGCATATAAAAACACACTAGGGTAATTTATGTTTATAGCGTAGAATTTATATGTGTAACAGCAAAATCACTGTAAAATGAACAACAGGGAAAAATATCAGTGTAATATATTTATGTAAATGTAACAGTGTACGCATCAGTGGTAACAGACACTATCGTATCAGTGTATCCTCAGTTTTTAAACATATGTGCTCATAAAACGCACCAGGGTATTTTATGCTATATAGGCTTACCAGAGTAGAATCTGTATATGTATCAGAGTAACATCAAGGTAAATGTTTAATTATTAGTGTATAATATTTATGTAAAAGCTACAGCATACGCATTAGTGCAAAATTATTGTATCGGTGTATCATCAGTGTCTAAACCTATATGCACATAAAATGCACCAGGCCAATTTTTGTTAATGTATGAGTTACAACGTAGAATTTGTGTATAGCTCTCGGAATAAAATCAGTATAGAATTTTTAAATACCAGTATAAAATATCAGTTTCGAAAGCTGTTTGTTTGCTTCGGTCGACTAGCATATCCACAAAGCCTACAGACCTTTTATTTTACGGTTTGCTCCGATTGGTTAAAACAGTAAACCTGGGGTTACAGAATCTTGTGCTTGGCGACTTTTAGTACGTCGCCTTTGCTATTTATTTCTGAGCGTGGTATGCCCAAAAGAGCTAAGAAATAGCGTATGTATCCTCGAATAAAATATAATTTTAGTTATACTTACTCATAATTTTAGTAAAAAGAATAGGTATTCGACGCCCTTAAATGTTTACTGAGTGTTTTGACTTAGTTTATTTTGCATTAAGATTTATTTTACTGTATCATGTTCCTCGCGATGTTCAGAGTCTAGACCTTGTATAACGTTTATTGATGTGCTTTGAAAGTTATGTATTTTCTTTTCATTGTACACTTTTTAAAAATATTCCTTGACTTGCATAAATTAATGCGCTATGGAAATTTACACAACAGACTCTTTCTAACACAAATGATAAAAAAAGTACATATACAATTTCCAAGTAAACACTTTTCTCACAAATAATAACTGAAATTTTAACAGTTTCAGTACATTCTTTATCCAAATAGAAATAAACTATTAATAAGATCAGTAGGTTATTTTAAATGTATTCCACATAATTCCCCTTTGCTTTTATTTGTAAAATAAAAATTTATGTAATGAAACAAACACAGTTTCTCTTCTCTGCACTGAAAGCCCACAAGGCGTGTTTGGGGTTCGTTACAAACACTACAAGGCGACAACTCGCCATTCCGAAAATGACCGCCAAGGAGACGTTTCATTCAATGAGAGCAGACCGTAGAAGAAAAAGTTCTGCAGACTTTGTGAATATGTGGCCGACTAGGTAAACCTGGCTTTCTTTCTTTTTACGTTTAATAGTGGTTCTTCTACACTGACTACCAATAAGTATTTGGACACCTGTGATAGAAAAGAAAAACTAACTTTATTCAAAATCAATAGTTGGTAGAGCCTCCACGAGAGGTAATTACAGCGTGGACCCTCCGGGGTATACTTTCCACAAGTCTTTGTATGACAGCTAGTGGTATTTTTTTC